CCTGAACACTGAATTTTATTTCCACTCGTGCAAAATCGGCGCATAATCTGTATATAAAATAATAAAGAGTTGCATAAAATGAACTGCACATCTGATTTTTAGAATATGCGATATGTTTGTCTTTACTAGAAGCATATTTAATTAAAATTTCAACAAAATATATTAATAAATAAGAAAATTGATATTGCACACCCGGATGTGCATGCGCACATTAATCGTTAAGAATTTTCATGGTATGGTTTAACTTCCTTCTCCATTTTCTTACAATTTTCTCTTAAGTTTTCATCGTTTTTGCTTTTTACGTCGCACCTACCTGGATTTTACTTACGACCCACGCATATAGTATCTTTATTAACAAAATTGACAGTGACGAACCTACGCCGTGGATGAGTTTCTACATTATCGGCTTGTGAAATTCTACCTACATTAACCATGCATTCGATCAACATTAATATCTACTTCGAGATTTAATATCCGATTGCCTCCGTGTCAGACGTTAGCATTGTTATTTCGCAATATTTTATGTGCAGTGAGATTCACTACCCGCTTTCATTTGTTTGTCGTGTTTTGTTTGTTACACATTTGCTGAACGCGTCCTTTCGATACAATTGAATTGAAATGATTACATTACTTCACTATAACAGGTTAGGTTTCAATTTCAGAAAAATACACCGTGAAAATTTTGTCTATAACATTGAACAACGTTTTTTTAAGAAGTTTTTATGGTATCCAAAATTACACAACGTTTGCTACTAATCTATAGGGACTTCTAATATGTTGTCAGTGGCGTGCTTCTGCACGGTCAAAGAGGGGATATTTTTTTACTGGTAACCACTAGTTTATTGTATCAAAAATCATTTAAAAAAAAGTAAATCTACATGCTTAAAAATTATTTATAGTGGCGTGGTCACTTTTTTTAATACAACACAAATACATGATCAAATAAGTACAATTATGAAATTAATTAACAAACTGTTTTCTTTAATTTAAGTTCTTCGCTTAAATTTGATTATGCAATATAATCAGTTTTGTATGTTGCTATATAACAAAATATGCCCCATTTGACTATGCTGAGGTACGCCATTGACTACGATTGGTAGCAAACTTTTCATAGTTTTGGATACGCGAAAAAACTTAATTAAAAAATGTTGTTTTGAAGATACATTCAGTGTTCCTAACCTAATTTTCACCACGTATACAGGGTGTTAATTTAATTTTGTCCACTATTGCTATCTTGAGAACTATAAGAGCGAAATGGTCGGTTAAATTATCAAACAATTTCCATTTTACAAGACTATTTTTATGAGCACAAAAGATATTTTTTTCAACCAGTGGTTCACAAACTTTGTTATTTTAAACGGAATTATATTTCTTTTATTTCCTTATTTGGTGGAAAATTTTATTCTGAATTTAGTGATGTAAAATTTGTATACTTACATAACAATTTTTATAAGAAAAATGCCTGTGAAGATTTGTATCAGTTTCACTTTAAAATTGATAAAATAAGTGTGCCAGGGTTGATACAAATGAATGTGGAAAACAATTACTTTGAAACAAAAACACATCAAATACATTCATTTACAAATATTGCTCAAATTGTTCTCAATTTTTGTTAATTAATTCTTCGGAACAAAGTACCTCTTACTGATCTCAACGTCCGGCCATCAATATTATTTAAAATATTTTCTGTGTTGTTTTTAGATGTTATAAATCTAGATAACGTTATCCTTTAAATAACCCCATTACAAAATTCTAATGGATTTAAATCCGGCGACCTGGCGTACCATGAAACAAGGGTAAATGATTCGGGAACATATCGTTTAATATTGCGTTACTTTTTGCGGATTGTGGGCAGGTGCACCGTCTTGTTGATAATATAAATCTCTTACAAGGACACATTATCTAGCATATTTGCCAACGCGTCTCTTAAAAATTGTAAATACCGATCACTATACCTTCATTCATACGTTAATTTAACTGACCTCGTAGCTCTTATAATTCTCGAGATAGCACTAGTGGACAAAATAAAATGAACACCGTGTATACGGCCTGCCTGGATTGTGACTTTCCTTGCTAATTATTTGGGAAAATTCAGCAATATCCCTTTGGTATTTGATGATTAACTTTTTAACTGTCTTCATTTCCAGTAATATTGGAAATACAATTGTAGCAGTAGGTACGCTTTCATGCTATAAAGGGTAAAATACTTATTTTGCAAGAAACGTTTTAATCAATAAGACCAATTAGGCGTGAGTAACAATAAATAATTAGAAATAAGACTGATCGGAGGCAATTTATGAAATAATTAAAATCGAATACAGTAAAAGGGATTAAAACAAAAATACCCTCATTTTTTATCTTGAAGTTCTGCTCGGATTTCTTTCGTAAAAATTATTTTTTATTCCGTCCGTTAAGTATTATTAATGAACGCACGACACCTTTAAACGTCTATTGCTTGTTACGGAATTAAAAATAATATTTCAATTCGCGAAACGGTCTCATTTTCTTCCTTTAATGACAAGAGGGTGGGTACTTACGAATTAAATCCCCAAGATCTTGGCTTACCTGAAACAAACAAAAAATCGTTAATAAGCGTAATCGTGTCGTGAACTACTCAAAGTTTTATAGGTGGATTTATCCGTTTTATTGCTTTAAAAGTTATTAGAGAAAAGGAGGCACGTGACGGATGCTGGCTGTATAAGGAGGACAACTCTCGTCTTGTTTCTCGTTCCACAAGGGTCAAATAACGGCCTGCCTGTCCTGAGGCCTTCATACCAAGAAATTTTCAATACGTGTGCTCATCGGAGAGCGTTTTATGGGGTATATACGTCTTTTATTATCGCATTGTCCCCTAAAATATTAGCGAAGATGTGCACATGGCAAGTCGAGGTTATAATTAATTCGTGATTGAAATTCTAAACAAACTTTAGTAATTATCCGCCCTTTCCCGATTTTACGAGGATTAAGCGCGCGAATATGCCTACAGAAATCTATCGTACTTCGATTAATGAAACATAAAAAACGCACACCTCCCCCACGGGAATATTTACCAAGAAAGCGAAAACTCATCAATACCTCATCAATTTCTTTTGATCCCCTATCCTCTTATACTAATTAATCGAGACCGACTTCTTCTAAAACCTCCAGTTTTTCACGTATTGTAACCGGAAACTTTGGCAGCATCTGCTACTAACATGTTCCCCCTAAAATTACTTTAGACAATGCTTGTTTTCGGAATGGCAATTCCAAACCGAGAGGATTACTAATTATAAATGAACTTTAATGCGCGATATCTGGATCAGAAACGTGGTAATGAGATCTAAAAATCGATCTCTGGCCCTTTTAAACTCAAACACAAAGTAGTTTGCGAGGGCCTCGAAGTTTAGGCAGGCCGGTTCGGTAATTAAGGAAAAATAACACGAACTTCCGTGCCAAGGCGAAGACCAACATTTTTAAAATATCGATCGAAAGAGTGCCTGCAAGTTGATACCGCCTTTGTAGCCGCAAAATTCATTAGATCTCATATTTCGGGATTTGTTCCTTGGCAATTTTTACGTGTATCGTTTTACGTGGAGGAAATTTTTTTCCTTGCTGCAAGGAAACCAATTCGTGCGCGGTTGGCATCGGTAAACCAACTCCAATCTTGTGGAGAACAATTACTTCCATCGCGCTTTTCGCCTATAATCACCGTTTAAAAATTGAAGAAGTTCGCTGATAATAAAGGTAAATTATAAAGAGAAGGAGATAGAAATAACGGAAGAAATGGATAACAATAA